CCAGCATTGTAATAGCCAGGTGGACCGCCGCCAGGTGGTCCTGGTCCCATGTTGGGCGGCATTGGCGGTGGCGGCGCCGCCGTGCTGTAGTGCGTCGGCGGCGGCGGCTGCTGTGTCCAGGCATTGGCCGCATACGGCGGCAACGGCACCACAGGTGGCGGCGGCGGCGGTGGTGCGTGATACATGTGATAATTGGCAGCATTGCTGTTCAGATTGCTGGGTGGTGGTGGCAGTGGTGCGGCTACGCCCACAGTTGGTGTGGGCAGCGGCAGGCCATCACTGGATGGCGGCGGTATGGAGACGACGGCCACGGGCACCGCATTGGCCAGCGATTTGATGGTTTGTATATTGTTGAGTTCGCCCATCAGGCCGCCATTGCCGGCGGTGGGCGGGGCTGCTGCCGGCTGCTGTGGGCAATTCGCATTTATTGTTCCTGCTGCTCCTGCCGATGCAGCGGCGGCGGCGGCTGCACCTGTTGTTGTTGTTGGGCTGTCGGCCCGGCTGGGCGGCTTTTGTGGCGGGCTGTTGGGCTCCTGTCCCTCCTTCTGCGTCGACTGATACAGATCGAGCACCTGATGGCAAATGTCCTCCAGTATCTCCATCGTCACATTGGACACGAACATGTCCCACCAGCGCTGATGATGCGGCTGTCTGCCCAGCCAGTCAAGCACCGTGAATTTGCTCAGTTTGCTGGCCAAATGGATGAGCGCTACGGCTATGATCTCCGGCTCCCACTGCAGGCAGACGACAGTGCTGAGCGAATCGTTGACAAAATTCCACGCCATTTGCACCATTTTCTGCAACTTCGGCTGATCGCCCTTAAAGCACTTGGCATACTTGAGCAAAAAGGTGTACGGATGTTCCACTTGCAGATCGAATTTAATTGTTTGCAGCAATATCCGCTCCAGCGTCATTACCTCCTCCTTGGGATCGTCGCCGAATGAATAGAAATAGTTGTCGTTGAGGATGCCGCGAGCGGTTTTAATGATATCGCGACACTTCTTGGGCGTCTCCTCCACCTTGCCGGCGAGGAAGAGACAACAGCAGGCGGTGACGTAGCGGGGAAAGCTCTTGAACGAGTGGAACATGTAGAAGCGATGGAAGTAGACGACGCCCGTGGCCATTGTATTGTGGCCGAGGCCCATTTTGGTGCCGCATTCCATGATGAAGCGTGCGCCCTCTTTGCGATAGCGACGCTCTGTCTCGTATGTAACGCCATCCAGAATTGAAGGTGTCTCGCGTAGCTCCTTTTTGTCATAATACCAGCAAGGCATTTTTCTCCGGGCCTACACTGTTTTTATTTTTGTTATTTAGTTTTTTGTGTTAATAACATAAAAAACCAACAAACAAAAAATTAGTGCTTTTTTGGTGTCATTTTTTAGCGTGTTTACACAAACAGCCTTTTTTTCATTTGTGCAGCAAGTGGCAACGCTGAACAAGCAACAGCTGTTTTCGCAAGCAGTGTGGCCGTACTATATGCAGTTTAAGCGGGTTTTATCATACTTTGGCCGTGCATTTAAAAATAAAAAACTAGTATAATATATTTCATTCCAGTTGTGTGCTTTTATTTTGGCTTACAAAATAGAAAAAAAAGGGAAGGTTTGTATGTTTGCGCTGACATTGATTAAGCATCAAATATTTACTTTAATTACTTTTTTTTCCAGCCCGTGGAAGTTGACTTTCCACAACTATGCTATTTTGTGTTTTCTTATTACCACTACCGCCTGCCACAAATGGCCCGACGCATACCTGTTGTATGCGTCCATGGCCGTCGTTTGGCCAATTAGCCGTAATGCCTTGGCTTAGTTGAGGTAACTATTTATAACCAGCCTTTCCAGTTGTCGTTAGCTTAATATGCTACGCTCATTGTGCAGACGTCAAATAATGCGGTCAATATGGTCGTCTAACAGGAATTTGGTTGCTGTTACTCCTTCTCCTTCCCCTAACCCTCCTACTGTTGCACTGGATTCGCCTACTTGCGTTTGCTTTCCAGTTTTTCGTCATCTATGCCACCCACTTTTATCGCGCTGGGTAGCACTGCTGCATTTTGCATAACAGCTGCACTGCAAAATGCCAAAAAAAAAAAAGTGTCGAAACTGGTTAAGGTATTGGGAACAAACAATAGCACGCCCTGGGGAACCCAGACAACTCCAGCAGCCAACAGCCAGCTTTATTACTAGATATTTATAGTCTGTCCATTCTAGCATTGCTTTCGTTCGTCTCACATTTCATAAACAATTTGTATGCACAGTTGCAGTTGCGTCTGCATTTTTTGTCGCTGCTGCTGGTGCTGCTAGCTGTCGATGTTATTAACCTTGCTTGGGAAGCTTGGAGAGCCTGTTGGTTCCTTGGTTGGCTGCCAGACAGGTCCAAGTTAATCAAATAGAATTGTGCCGGTCCGAGCAGCATAACCAGTTTACTTTATATTCTTTAGCTTTTACTTTGTGTGTACGATCGTACGCTCTCTCTCTCGGCCAGTTTGTGCGCTCGCTAGCGCGCGCTCTCTCTCTCTCGCTCTCTCTCCCTACCTGCTTACCATTTAAGCCGTTTAAGACACGTTTGCAGCTTCGCTGCGCTTGCTGCTGCTCGGGCGCTTTTCAGTCACTTCTGAAACGTCAGCGTCGCCAGTTACCAAGCGGATCGCGCTAGCTGGCAACAACAACAACAACAAAAGCAGCAGCAGCGACAACAACAATCCGTCCAGTATATTTTGTAGTTGTTTTCATATATGTTTTGTTATATCTTAATGCGCGTTTGTTGCGTACAACGGCTTCGCAAAAAGTAATAAATAATAATAAAAATAATAGAAGTGGCTGCAAGTGTTAAACAAGAAGAAGAAGTGCTTGCCTAGGCAGTAAAAAGTTTTTTCAATAATACACAATAGCCATAAAGCAAGATTCAAATGAAAGAGAAGAAAATGTGCTTTAAAAAAAGTTAAAAAGTTAAAAAGTAACCACAAGCTACGTATCGTGCGCGCACTCTCCCTCTCTCTCTCTCTCACACACACACATACTCTGTGTTCCTCGTTTACTCCATCTCGCTCGTTCCATAAGCGCACTCCTACTTCCCCCTAAGCTTCGCTCTACTGCATGCATTCCTTGGAATCATTCTATGTGGATTATCGCTACGAGTCAACGAAAGAAGAAGAACAAAACACATAACGTTTGCGTTATTTGGAATATTTTTTACGTTATACCTCAGTCTATAACGCTAAATAAGTGAGTTATGATTTACGTATTTCTTTTTTTCATATATGTATGTAAGGTAAATGTATTTCTACTGTTTTAATGCAAGTAGCTTTTAAAAATATCATTCAAACTATATTATAAATATCCATTTTTGTTCAATTTTTCACTTGCTGTGACGAAAGGCCATCGAAGTTATTTAAATTCAAATCAGCTACCAAATTTGTCATTTAGCCATTTCTTACCATTATATAACCCGTGAGGGTGTCTTAGCCTACCCACTGTTGATTTGAGCGCTCTCAACTGTTCTTCATAATATCTGTTTCAAACTCAGCTATGAAGAATTCTGGTACAACCGACTAAAGTTTAGAAACCAACTCTAAAACCTATATACAGATATACCGAGTATGTCCGAGTATAGTATTACACAAATCTGTATACGCCATTGTTTTCGACTTTGATAAACCTATCAGTTGTTTACGAAGAATAATTGCAAATTTTTTATGAATATATGCATATATATCTAATATATTTTCAATTTTAAAGCAGATGATTCAGTTTTGTAGTACGCTTTCGATCCGGGGGGAATTAGCAGGCCCACACCAAACGCTTGCATTGGAAATTAGCGTTGTTGCAGCTTGTCTCTTTATTTTTTGTGATTTATCATCCACGCTCACATTTCACTATAAAAGTCGCTTGTTGTTGTCTGTTGCTGTTGTCGCTCAATTGAGTGTTAAGTGTTTGGCGATTAGATCATCTGTGGGGTGCGTCAAGCCGCTTAGCCAAGTTAATGAGCATTTTGGCCGTCTCGACGGCAGACAAGGCCATTGGAGCCTGCAAGAGAGCAGCAAGTTGATTGAACCTGCCACACACCATTCAGCCATGTTTTCTCTCTCTATCTCCCTCTCTCTTCGTTTCTTTCTGTACTAAATTAAACACAGAAAGGGTATATACGATTGCATTTTGACTACACCGCATGCCGTAATTATAGACACAGTTCTCTATTTCATCTTATTAATGATTTCCTTTGTTATGTGTTTAGCTTAAGGCAAGCATTTAAGTTCTCAGCTGAGCTGAAAAAATCTTATTTGTGATTCATTTATCTTAGTGGAGGAAAAAATACGCTGCTCGTATGACAAATCTATGGTAATACTTATGAGAAATTAGTCATAATTTAAGGTAAATTATAGGCAAGGTCGTTTAAACTGAGAGCTTAAGTATAATTAGTGAATATTTGTTGGGTTAGCTCGCAATTGCTGGAGAGTTATAGGAATATATATATTTTTTTTCAGTTTACGAACTCTTCATGGAAATATGTCAATTGTTTTTTGCAAATAAGAATAGCTCTTAAAAATGATCAGTTAAAGTGCTTAGACGAAAAATTGGATTTGTCTGATTATTTCATTTATGGAAATTATTCTAAAAATGTAGTAAATAAGTCGAATGTACTTTTGCTTAATAATTATTAATTTAACAAGACAGTGGTAAAAGATACAAAAATAATTTGTTCAGAAATATTTTATATACATATTGCATTTATTATAATAAAATATCAACTGAGCAATTTTAAGAACAAATAAAAAAGAAAACAATTAGCAAATTTTTTTAATATCTATAATTTTAATTTTTTCTTAAAAATAAAAATATTCTTATTTAATTTAATTATTTAATTTAATTTTATTGTTTAATTTATTTTAGAAATAAATTATTGTTTTTTAACGATTGCTTAACATTCAAAAAGACAGACTTCATATGCTTTCAATTTTGAATGCCTTTCGATCTTTTTATGTGTAGATCATAATTAAATATCAGAGCTAACATTTTCACATAAAAATATATTTAAATTTCTCCTGACTCTATTTCATTAACGCTCATAGTAATATAATGCAAGTAGCTAATTCAAATTTTTAATTTATATCTTGATTTCGCACACTGTGCACAAACTCTATTATGGTTGTTGTTGTTGTTGTTGTATTTAACTAGCGCGATGTTGCTGATGTTTTTGTACCAGACTGTTGAGTTGGCTCGCTTTTGTTTCTGAGCCTTTACTTTCCACAATATGTTAACAATTTTGATTGGCAATGTGATGCGTGGTGTTTGTGTGTGTGTGTGACTGCATTGTTTTAGCTGCCGTCGGGATCAGTGTTGCATGTTGCAAATTGCAACTGCAACTACAACGCGGCACTGTAATTGTTTTAGCCGCCATCAAGCGTAACCGAACAGCCAGCCCAATGGAGCGGCGGCGTTGAACTCGCAACACTTTGAAAATGATTCTCCTTTACACACACACACACACACACACACACACACACACACACACACACACACACACACACACACACACACACACACACATTCTTAACCGCACGCAATTGGCCGGGAGCGAGATACATAGATCTCCGAGACGCCGTAGGCAATGCGTATAGAGCGTAGAGCTTACAACGTACAAACGCACAACGCACTCAACTTGGCCATAAATCACGCGTGCCTTGGCCATATTTGTGGTAGGCTCTGTCGCGGGCCGCAGCCCATCAAATGTCAGCTACCTTTTAAGTTGGCTCTTTTATTGTCTGTGTAGAAGTCATTTTTGCCATATCTATAAGCACCCAAAGTGCTCGTAATTTTTGTTTTGTTTTGTTTTACTTTTGTCTCTTACATGTTCCTGGTCGCTTGTGAACTTTTGCATGATAATTACCGGCCCCAAATATGAAAACCAGTTAAAAGCCATTTGAAACATAACTGTGCTCACTATGATGATATGTGACAGCTGCGTAAATAATCGGAAAGTTTTTGGCTGATTACTTTGTGTCCAACTCATTTTTCTTTTCATTTTTTTTTTCTTACCAATTATATAATTTGGTTAAACTTGTTTCGATTATGCTATTCAATGCGTTTAAGGCAAATATTTGTTGTCTTGCTTTGCTCTGGTATTTGAGTCTTGAGCAATTTGTGATATTTTGTATACATTTTCTTTCTTTTTTCTTTCTTTTTTTTTTTTGTTGGTTAATGTGACAGATGTTTGAAATATGTAAGTGTTTGTGGAAGTCGAGAAGAGTTTTGATAATGATAGAGATTTTAATGCAGTTTAAGCGAGCTAACTTAAAAAATAAAATTAATAAATTTTCTTAGTCCAGAAATCTTAAAGAATATACCGGGTGGAATCCATTTTCTTTCTGACTTGATTCTTTATTCTAGTATTCTATGAAAGAACTTTAAGCACAGGTATTTCCACATTTTATTTTTGAATTAATATATTGAAAAAGTTTCCTCATGCTAAATATTAACAAAGTCGGTTAAAACAAGGGAGATTGCTTTTTATACGCGACGGTCTATAGGAGAGTACTACTTTGAATTCTTCGCAGAGCTGATATTCGAATTATTCCACGCTTCTTTCATACATACATTGTATATCACAAAGAGCACACACGCATACGTACGCACACATTAGCACTCGCTCTGGTTACGCGCTGCGACTGCGCTTTACAAATGCAGCTTCATAGTTGAATTACTTTCCTTCTAGATGGACTTTCTGAATCAAAATTTTTAGAGCATGCAAGAGCAAAAGGCTCAAATATTTCAAATATTCTTTGTTAGAATCTGAGAAGCAGAAATCGAAAATATAAATTCTCCTATTCATTTCCAATTGGAAATGTTCTTCCTGTGTGCTATTTAAAGAGAAAAATATAGATTTTTATTGATATGGATGAGTTACCTATAAAAAAAAAAAATATATAAAAGGCATGCCTTTAGAGTTTCTTAGATAAATTTGAAGTCCTCAATTAAGAATAAAATATTATCAGTAGAATACATATTGCAAATGTATGTAAAACATAACTTTAATACGTTTAAAGCCAAGACCAAACAAAGAATCTTAAGAAAAGTATCAGTAAAAAAGAGTTTGTTGTAAAATGAACAAAAAACAATTGAAATTTGTATTTTTTACTATAAAATAAAGGATTGTCTTTGATAAAAGGACATTTTTATAAAGATTTTGTCAATTTGCTCCGCAATGTTCAAGCATGAAAATTTACGACCTAATTTCGAAGTGAAAGCGATTGAGGAACACAGGAAAAATATATGAATGCTGAGCTCCAATTATATGCCGTGGGAAACCGAGGCATTATTAGATAACAAATTGAAAAAAAAGGCGTTGCAGCACAGCTCGCCCATCTTAACCAATATAAAAAATTTTTGTTGTTCAATTATAATAAGATAGCGCACAGAAAGCTGAAACTGAAAACAAATTAAACTGTAGACTTTTGCTTAACCAGTGCCTTACTAACTCTTGAAGAACCCTCGCCGTTTCAGCTGTTTGGGCCAATCTTTAAGCCAACAAGAAAGAAGCAGCTGATAGAAACCGTTGCGCTTGGCAATTTACTTGAAAGTGCGTTACACTTAATTCAATCGCAGATAGAAGTTAAAGCTACTCCGCTGTTGGCCTGATTCGGAGTGGTGGATCTCTGAAGAAGAAGCAGCAGCAGCGGCAAATGGCCTCGAGCGCCCTATTATACTACTCTATACCCCTTGATGGAAGCTACACCATCAAAAGTTTCTATTTAATTCATTTAATTTCATTTAAGCCAACTCAGGCAAGAAGCGTCATCATCAGCGACGTAGCTTGGCCTTTGGCCAAACTTATTAATAAATGTTATTTCTCTTTTATATTTCTTTCATTCATTTTTTTCTTCTTCTGTATTTCTTTTGCGTTTTTTTTTTTTTTTTTACTTCTATAGAGCGAGGCGTTTACCTATACGTTGACCTGATTAAAGACAGCGGCACGCACAGTCCGAGTCGGACTTGAAGCTCGCTCAGACGGAGTGCGAGTAGAAAGTGTCGCCACTCTCTTTTCTGTGTGGCGCAAATTATATAGAGTTTTTGACATTTGTTGCAAGTCGGCTTATTGAACAGCCAATGGCTGTAGCCATTTGAGCCATTTGAGCTGGGCTTGGCTTTCAGCCTTTTGGGCTTTTTAACTTTTGGTTACACTCTAATTGAAAAATAATAAAAGTCAAGCCAGTTTTCGTAGCTGTCTCTCAACTTTGACATACAAAACGGTGTTGGGTAAAGTTCATTGAAACACTGAAGCTGTTAGCACATACAGCAACAAAAATATGAATGTTAGAAAAAGGTTTTAACATATTATGGCAATGCCTCAAACGAATTAAGCTTTAAAGCCGCACAAAAAAAAAAAAAAAAATGGTTGACTTTTATGTTTCTCTGCCTTTTGCTCTTTCGTCAGCATTTGTTGAAAATTCTAATTAAAATGTTGAAAAAAAAAAAAAAAATGCTGTTTGAGAATCTTCTCACATTTATGTGCTGCTTTGACTGGTAACTTTTATATGCCATTGTTATAGACACTCCACGGACGACGCGTCGTAGCTGCTAAAGATCATGTGTGAGTCTGTAGACTTTGCGTATGAAAAAGATCAACAATAGTCATAAGTCATAAGAAAAAAAAAATTGCCTTTATGCATTAAGATTTGCGTTTTTCCATTCATTATACGCAATTAATTTTATTTTATATTGTATAACGAATTTTGGAAATACTTTGAACTTTCAAGTCATGAGAACTGGAAATTGTGTAAAGGCTTAGCCAAGATTTTTAAAAGAGGTATATCGGTATTGTACAATATCTGCAATGTCTCGATCGTCCGTTCGAATTTAAGCCATATCGCTAGAAGCGAGAGAGACTTGAAATTTTGTATATATATAGTTGTCTATATTCTCGTCTTATATACTGATTTTCCCGATCCAGTCATTAGGGACTTTACAAATCCGCATATTAGTTTTTGTGGCATCTCAGAGAGCTAACATTTGGAATGAATGAATGTATATGGCGTATATATATACTCTATGAATGAATGTATATGGTGGACATATCTACGCCAATTGGAAGAATGGGGAAAGGGGAAAGTCTGTATCCTCTACAGCCGTACAACTAAAAACTTGATGACCAAAATGCTGACGCCCTTCTCTTGTGACTCACAAAAATAAAATTTTTATATATTATATGATATATAACATTTGTTAGCGTTTGGGCCGTGAATGTGTATTCTGCAGTCGTCGTTCTACAGTCGTTTTTGTATTTATTTCTTATAACTTATATATTCGCCTTACACCTGTTGAAGCCTTTTTCTTGTTTATTTAGAAACAAGCGTCTGCTTGTCTTCCATTGACAATCAATTCCATTTATGAGCGCATATATCATTTGTTAATGCTTTACTCTGATATCAAGCTACATTCGCATTTTGGCCTGGCTATTCACTCCTTTCGCAATAAAATAAGCCATATTCAGTTTAAAGACATTGTCTCAAATGTGAGTTGACTAAGCAATTGGCACGACTGAAATGGCAGGTAGAAATTTTAATTTGATAAACCTGAAAGCTGCAAATAGTGTTTTTATCTGTCTCGCTAGATTGAAGTATGTAAATAAAATGATATCAAATCCGAATCCCTCTATTACTTTGACAGTAAAAGTTGTTTTAGTTTATGACCATTGTATATTATTAGCTAAATAAATATTTAATAAAGCTAGATAGTTAATAATGTCTTTTTAATAAGTTTATCTTTACACGATTGCTGCTGATTTTACAATCCCAGCTCATTAGCATATTCAGATGCCCCAGATTTGTTCCATGACCGCACCGTAGCCACAGCCACATTGCCCATTTCTAACTTTCAACGGGCGCTCTCTATGCTCTCTGCTAATTATTATGCATTTCGGCAGCTTGTTTGGTCTTGCAAGCAAATCAAATTGAATCATTTAACAATTTTCGACGCCTTCTGCCCTCCCCATCCTAATGAATTGGAGCTGGCTGCTGGCTCAGCGGGTAGCGTGAAGGCCGAACCAATGTTTAGCTCCGATTCGGATTCAGATTCAGATTCAGTTTCTGTTTCTGTTTCGGCTCTTAGTGCATAGCATAAACACGGATCCATTGCCGCATATGTGCGGAACCACATAATGACTAATAACGCTGCCGATTTGCATGCTCTATGGGCACAACAGCTCAACGGGCCCCACAATGTGTCTTGAGACACGGCAAAGTAAAACTGGTTTCTATACAAATATTTAGATATATGTATATTTATGTATATATATATTACCCAGGTATTCACGCTCCATTGCAGTTTTGTGTAGTATTCGCATTAAGATGAAAAAATTGAAACCATTATTAAATGCTGTTGCCAGATCCGGTCTAAGATTGTTGCCAGATCTGCAGATCAGTTGCAAATATGAAATGAAACGTTTTCATTGTAGCTCGGTATCTATCTCCTCAAATTGCCTTTAACATGCGATCAAATTGTAGTTGCTGTGCAGCTGAGTTGTTGCAAAGTGGAGTCATTTATTTAACAAATTGTTGGATGTGATTTGATTGTGCAGGGTAATCGCACTGTTGAAGGCGATCTCTTCAGATGTAAAATGGATGGAGGGAAATGGGGATATACCGAGAGAAAAAATCATAGCAGAGAGAAAGAGAGCGAGAAAGGAGATAAGGAGAATTTAAAGAATGAAGGAAACGAGCGAAAGAGAGGAATAAAGCAAAAGCTAAAAAAGGTAAAAAAAGGCGCGAAAGAGAGCGTGAGTAAAAGAAAGCAGAAGGCAAAGAGAGAGGGAAAGAGAGAGAAGTATAGTTAAAGGGAGAGGGAGAAATATAAAGAGAAAGATAGAGAGAGAACCAGAGGTAGTGATAGTCAGCGCAAGCTAAGGAAGCGAAGGAAGGGCAGTGAGAGAGTGGAAAGGAGAAGGAGAAACAGTAAAATGCAGAGAGAGGTAAATAGGGAGAGAGAGAGAGAGAGAGAAAGAGAGAGAGAGAGAGCAAAAAGCGAGCGCGCAGGAAAGATAGAAAGAAGGAGAGGGAGAGAGAGAGATAGGGAGAGAGAAAGAGAGAGAGACAGAGACCGAGAGCAAGGCAGACAGATTACATGCAAAAGAGAGATAAAAGAGTCGAAGAGCAACCAAAGGAGACAAAAAAATAATACGTGAAAGAAAAAAAATCTAGAAATGGAAAAATCAGAAGTGCAGCGAATGTAAATGGCACAGAAATAGGAAAAAGAGAGATCTGGTGAACCAGAGACAAAGTCAAACAAATAGAGGGAACGAGAAAAAGAGAGAAAGAGAAGAGAATAGACAGCCGGAAGACCTATAAAAAAGAATAAAGAAATAT